GGGGGGGGGGGGGGACTATTACATACTAAGGCAATAAAAGTGTCATGAAGACAGAAGACTATTAGAACCGAGATTTATAACTTATCCAGACCGGGGATTGCATGATTTGCCCGTAAAAATAAGCCGTACAAGCTAGCCACATGTATTGGCAGCTTTATTTACTTAATCAAATAAATGTTTATGTAACTTTTAAAGATGGAAGAATAAATCAAATTCCTTTTATTTTTATCCTATTTCTTGTCCAAATGATAAGTTAAATTATTTTTCGCTTGCAAGTTAATTAAAGCGTCAAAAGCTTGTGCCGGAATGAACATGAGACGTTCTTTGAAGAGCACCGTAAACATAAGGGCCCTCTCTTATGAAACCCCCATAGTCAAAGGAAAGATATTGGAAGTGTGAATGCCTAAAATCAAAGTTATCGGATAAAAATAAACATAGTCAAATTGGCTCTGTAGGCGCAAGTTAAGCAAAGGTGTGCTAACATGCGCTACCAGCGATGCCGCGCCGGAAACGACAGGCAATTCAAGCTCCAATCCCTGCGACGAAGATAGATGGTGATACGAGGGTAATTACTCCTCAGTCAGGGGTACCCCAAGCTCTGGTTCCATTGCAATTGATCAATTGGGTGCCGGGAGGAGAAGGTCCAAGTAGAATGCAACAGGAAACCAAGTTGCCGGTGCCGATACAGAAGGATGAGCCAACTAGTGCTGCTGTTCGGAGACTGAATTTCCCTACGGAACAATCTGTGCCAAGCCCTATCAAGGTAAATTCTGGATCTGAAATCCCTACTATGGCGGATGTGGTTAGAAACAATCAAGCTCAACACCTAGGCATGCAATTGAAGTTTGTCCCTCCAGTCATTAAAAATAGAGTCAAAGTTATGAAGTTTAATTGAAATAGAAATGGAGGAACAAAGTTGGCAATGGAGGAATGCTCTAATTGGTTATGTTTTGGGAGGTACGCCTAGTTTCAAGGAGATGTTACAGTTTGTATATGGAGTGTGGCATTTTGTTTCAACTCCTAGAGTATTTCTTCATGATGAGGGATACTTCATCTTCAAATTTGACTCGGAGGAAGATAAGAACATATTACTTCAAAATGGACCTTACACTTTCAATAGCAGACCGATAATCCTAAAGGAAAGGGTGCCGGATTTCAAATTGAACAAGGAACCTCTGAGATTTGTTCCACTATGGGTATCATTTCCTAAACTACCTTTACAATGCTGGTCTGAAGAGAACTTGGGCTCGACTTGCTAGGTACTTCGGTCGACCAATATGCATTGATAAATTGACAGCCACAGGTGATAGGATATCATATGCCAGAATTCTCATTGAGATGGACATAACTCAGCCACTGCCAGACACGATAACCATTGAAAAATTTGATGGTAACATATGGGAGCAAGACATTGAATATGAGTGGAGACCTAAGTTCTGTCAGAATCGTGCTCAATTTGGGCACTTCACTGAAGTATGTGGTAAAGAGGCTTAGCAGGAATAGATACAACCACCAAAAGTCCAAAAAAAGGTGCAGCAGAAACTAGTACAGGAGAAGAAGGAATGGAAGGTTAAACAAGACATCCCAGTGCCTGATGCTAAACAACAAGAACCCACAAAAAATGAGGAAGAACATAATGCTCCCACCAAGGTGCAATTGAAGTGGCAAACATGTAGTAGTGTTTCAAGGGAAAGGGCAGAGTAATCAACATGAAGTTCAGAGCCACCAAGAGGCAGATTTGGAAAGTGATTCAGAGGGCTCCTTGGGGACAAACTAGTATTCAGATTTGAGAATATATGAAGAAGCAGTTGAAAAGAGAGTGAGTCAGAGACTTGCTAAAAAACAACCCCCATGATCTTCTGCTCTTGGAACATAAGAGGGCTAAATAAGGCCCATAAGCAAAAAGAATTCAAGGACTTTTTGCTTACAAAGAAGATAGACTTAATTGGTTGCCTTGAGACTAGAGTTAAATAACACAAAGTTACAAAAGTTACTAAAAAATTTGGGAGGGAATGGAATTTTATACAGATTATGCTCATGCCCCTAATGGAAGGATTTGGATTAGATGGAGAAGAGCATCAGTTGCAGTGACTATCCTTTCTAGTTCTGCACATTGATTCACTATTATATTGAGGATAGAGTATCTCAGTTTATCTGTGAATTAACCTATGTCTATGGGTATAATACTATCGCAGGAAGGTAACCACTGTGGGAACAATTAAGGAGTATCAAAGGATCTGCCAATGGGCCTTAATTCATATTAGGAGACTTCTACACTATTCTTCTTAGTGATGATAGAATCAACGGGGTACCAGTCCATCCTGCTGATTCCAAAATTGTATTACAGAGTGGGAGAGGTGACTAGGAAAGGCTGGCAATTTTCTTGGTGCAATAAACGGGATTCTACTGACAGGATATATAGCCACATTGATTGGGTGTTTGGTAATGCGGAGTGGTTACAAACATATAGTAGTATTGAAGCCAATTATCTTAACCCTGAGTGCTCAGATCATTCTCCTATAGTGATCAACACTGTGGTTGCTAAACAATACCTAAGAAGGCCATTCAGAATGCTCAATGTTCTATTACAACAGGAAGCTTTCAAGACAATTGTTCATAATGTGTGGCAACAGAATATCAGTGGGCATTATATGTATGTGGTTTGGCAGAAACTAAAACTGTTGGAAGTAGAAGCTAAGCACTTGACAAAGAGTAATCCTCATTAGAATGTAGATTGCTGAGTCTGAAGCAAAAGCTAGGTGATATCCAAGACAATCTTGTAGAGGACTTATTCAATAACAGGCTTATAAATGAGGAAAAAGAGACATTGCTAGAGATGGAAAAATGGGGTGCCATACATGAAAGAGTCCTCAGACAGAAGTCCAGAGCTACATGGATCTCCTCAGGTGACTCAAACACCAAATTCTTTCATGCTTACATGAAAGCTAGAAAGGCAAGAAACAGGATTTCCTCCATCCAAAATGAACAGGGAGTTTTGGTCACTGATCCAATGTTAATCCAGCAAGAGTTCCTCACTTTCTTAAGAGTTTATTAGGCACTTGTGCTGCAGAATTGCCTTGTATTGACATAGTTGTAGCAAGAAATGGTCCATGTCTATCTGCAGTACAACAACATGATCTGATCAAGCCTGTGACTAGGGAGGAAGTGATACAGGCTATAAAGGAACCTCCAAATGACAAAGCTCCAGGTATAGATGGCTTCCCAGCTGAGTTTTTTAAAGCAAAATGGGATACTATTGGAAAAGAGATAATGACATCAATTCTACAATTTTTTGGGAATGGACAGCTTCTGAAAGATATTAATTGTACTACTGTGACACTGGTTCCTAAAGTGCTAGCTCCTACTATGGTCAAAGAGTTTAGACCAATAGCTTGTTGTTCAACTCTATACAAACTTGTTGCTAAAATCTTAACTGCAAGGTTGAAGACAGTAGTGGACCTTATCGTAGGGCCATCTTAATCAGCTTTTATTGAGGGGAGAAGTATCCTGGATAATGTCATAGTATCCCATGAATTGATAAAGGGATACTCTAGGAAAGGGGTGTCACCTAGATTTATGGTCAAAATTGACATAAGGAAGGCCTACGACTCAGTGGAGTGGAGATTCCTACGGATGGTGCTGCTTGAATTTGGATTTCCTTCGAAGATGGTCAACTGGATAATGACTTGTGTCTTAACTGTCAGTTATGCACTATTGATTAATGGAGGATTGAACGCAAGGTTTCAAGCAAAAAAAAGGGCTAAGGCAAAGGGATCCGATGTCCCCCTATCTGTTTGTAATGGCTATGGAGTATTTGAATAGATCCTTGAAGAATCTGAAATATAACCCTGACTTCAACTACCACCCTAGATGTTCAAAGTTGGACCTAGTTCATATTTGTTTTGTAGACGATCTGCTAATGTGTTGCAGGGCAGATAGAATATCCATCCAGTTAATGCTACAGGCATTCAACCACTTTTCTGAAGTTTCTGGGCTTAAAGCCAATATGGATAAAAGTTCACTCTATGTAGTAGGGGTGTCTAGTGAATTTAAAAATCAGATCATTCAGGAGATGGGCTTCTATGGTGGGGAAATGCCATTCAGATACTTAGGAGTACCATTATCTTCAAGAAAGCTTACAATTCATCAATGCCTGCCTCTAGTGGAAAAGATGATTGCAAAGATTAGGTGTTGGTCTACTAAATTCTTATCGTATAGTGGAAGACTACAACTGATTAAAAGTGTTCTATTTGAGATGCAGAATTATTGGGCTCAAATCTTTCTATTACCAAAGAAGATCATTAATATAGTAACTAATGTATGCAGAACATTCCTATGGACAGGTACAAGTGAGCTTTCCAGAAAAGCTTTAGTTGCTTGGGAGAAACTGTGTATGCCTAGGGCTACTAGAGGTTTAAATATTCTAGACTTCTACAGATGGAACAAATCAGTAATCTGTAAGCTGTTGTGGGCTGTTACTCAGAAAAAGGATAATCTGTGGGTAAAATGGATTCATTGCTTTTATATAAAAGAGATCTAACAGAATGTCCTATTCCTAAAAAAGCTTGCTGGCTAGTTAGGAAGATATTGGAAGTAAGAAGTTGGCTAGTGAATCATGGGGAACCTGTGACACTGTTAAGAAGCTTTGAGACACAAGGAACGTTCAGCATCAAGAAAGCATATCAATTCTTCACACCCCAGTTTCAAAAAGTGGATTGGAAGAAAATAGTGTTGGTATAAAGTATCATTCCCAGG